TTGCTATGACCAGTGTGTTCTCTTGGCAAAACTCTATTAGCCTTTGCCCTGCTTCATTCTGTACTGCCAGGCCAAATTTGCCTGTTACTCCAGGTGTTTCTTGACTTCCACTTTTGCATTCTAGTCCCCTATAATGAAAAGGACATCTTTTTTGGGTGTTAGTTCTAAAAGGTCTTGTAGGTCTTCATAGAACCATTCAACTTCAGTTTCTTCAGTGTTACTGGTTGGGGCATAGGCTTGGATTACCATAATATTGAATGGTTTGCCTTGGAAATGAACAAAGACCATTCTGTCATTTTTGAGATTGCATCCAAGTACTGCACTTTGGACTCTTTTGTTGACCATGATGGCTAATCCATTTCTTCTAAGGGATTCCTGCCCACAGTAGTAGATATAATGAGTTAAATTCACCCATTCCAGTCCATTTTAGTTTGCTGATTTCTAGAATGTCGACATTCACTCTTGCCATCTCCTGTTTGACCACTTCCAATTTGCCTTGATTCATGGACCTAACATTCCAGGTTCCTATGCAATATTGCTCTTTACAGCATCGGACATTGCTTCCATCACCAGTCACATCCACAACTTGGTAGTGTTTTTGCTTTGGCCCCATCCCTTCATTCTTTCTGGAGTTATTTCTCCACTGATCTCCAGTAGCATCTTCGGCACCTACCAACCTTGGGAGTTCATCTTTCAGTGTCCTATCTTTTTGCCTTTTCATACTGTTCATGGGGTTCTCAAGGCAAGAATATTGAAGTGGCTTGCCATTCCCTTCTCCAGTGGACCACATTCTGTCAGACCTCTCCACCATGACCCGACCATCTTGGGTGGCCCCACATGGCATGGCTTAGTTTGATTGAGTTAGACAAGACTGTGGTCCTGTGATCAGATTGGCTAGCTTTCTGTGATTATGGTTTCAGGGTGTCTGCCCTCTGATGCCCTCTCACAACACCTACCATCTTACTTGGATTTCTCTTACCTTGGACGTGGGGTATCTCTTCACGGCTGCTCCAGCAAAGCGCAGCCACTGCTCCTTACCTTGGACGAGGGGTATCTCCTCACGGCCACCCCTCCTGATCTTGAATGTGGAGTAGCTCCTCTCAGCCCTCCTGTGCCCGCGCAGCTGCCACTCCTCGGATGTGGGGTTGCTCCTCTCGGCCGCCACCCCTGACCGCGGGCGTGGGGTAGCTCGTCTCGGTCGCGGCCCCTGACCTTGGACGAGGGGTAGCTCCTCACAGCCACACTTCTGCGCAGTCCATCGCAGCTGGAGTTGCTAAGCCATGTCCAACTTTTTGCGACCCCATGAACTGCAGCACACCAGGCTTCCCTGTCCTTCACCATCTCCCTGAGTTTGCTCAAACTCATGTCCATTGAGTCAGTGATTCCATCCAACCATCTCATCCTCTGTTGCCCACTTCTCCTCTTGCCTTCAGTCTTTTCCAGCATGAGGGTCTTTTCCAAAGAGTCAGCTCTTCCCATCAGGAGGCCAAAGGTGGGCTCATTACCATTAATTATTTCCTTAAAGGCCCTGTCTCTAAATACAGTCACACTGGGGGTTAAGGCTTCAATATATGAATTTGGGGAGATAATTCAATCTATGACACCATATGACCTAGCAATTCCACTCCTAAGTTTATTCCCAAGAGAACTGAAAACTTATGTTTCCACAAAACTTGTACGTGAATGTTCATAGCAGCATTACTCTTAATAGCCAAAAAGCAGAAACAGTCCAAATCCCACAAACTGATAAATGAATAGACAAACTTGTGGTATATCCACACAATGGAATATTACCCATAAAAAGGAATGCAATACTGATACATGCTACAACATGGACAAGCCTTGAAAACATTATGCTAAGTGAAAAAAAGCCAGACACAAACGTCTAGACATTGTATAATTCCATGTATATAAAATGATCAGAATAGGAAAATCCGTAGAAACAGAAAATGGATTAGTGGTTATTAGGGGCTAGAGTGGGTGGGAGGAATCGGGAGTGACTGTTAATGGGGTTTCTTTTGGGGGGGATGAAAATGTTCTGGAATTAGAGAGTCTGTGATAGTTGTATAGGAAAAAATGACTGAATTGCACACTTTAAAAGGTATGTGAAATTTTATGGTATGTGAATTATATCTAGAAAGAAAATGACAATATGAACAACGTGCTGTGTATAAAAACATACTAGATGTGACCAAAGCTATTCTCAGAGGAAATTTCTTAGACTTAAAATATTAAAACTATAATATAACAACTAAGCACTGAACTTACCTAGAAAAAGACCTCAGGAAAGCAGGAGGATGGTATTAAGAAAGATAATATCATAAAATAATTGACAGAAGTAAAGAGCAGTGAAATTGATGAGTTCAAGAGCTGGTTATCTGTCATAACCAATAAAATAAATTCCTTCCAAGAATGATTTTTTAAAAAGAAATCACAGGGCACAATACAAAGAAAGAGAAAGTAAACTCTAGATACTACAGAAAGTTTTTAAATAAACATTTCTGGGCTAATAAGTTAGAAAAAGATCATCAAAAGATGTTCTGTGGAAGTACAGATTAACAAAACTGATTCAAAAGGAAGTTACAGAAAAGACTGGGCCATCAGCAAACTTTCTCACTAAGATAGTTTCCCAGGCAGTTCTGCCTGTCTCCAAAGAATGATAACTATGCTATTTAAACTATTCCAGAGTAGAGAAAAAGAAAAGGTTATCCCTGATGCCTTTTTCAAAGCCAGCATTACCAAAATGCTAAAACTCGACAAAGAACACAAAAACTAATCTCTTTTATAAATGTAGATGGGAAATATTAAAATATAAGCAAATTAATTCAGCAAATATTAAAAGAATAAGACATTCATCTGCAGTAGGGTATAATCTAGGAATGCAGAAAATCACATTGTAAAATCCATTAGTAGAATTCATCATATCAAAAGTTCAAAGGAGAAAATACATGTGGTCATCTTGAAAGATGCTTAAGAAGCATTCTGTAAAATTAACATCCATTGCTGACTTTTTTTTAAGCAAAAGCATTATATGGCCAAGGAGCTAAAAGCAGGGCTTTGGTAATAGACAGACCTGCGCTCTGGCTGACTTTGGATAATTCACTTGGCCTCTCAGACTTCAGTTTTATCATCTGAAAGATGATTATAATTCAATTTAAATGAATTAATGTAAAAAACCATATTGCATGGTACCCAACACAGAGCAGCCCTCAGTCAGTGGAAGCTTAGTGTTTTTATTAATAAAATGGGAGCAGAAGTTTATTTCCTTAACATGATTTTTAAATCCATCTATATCATAATACGATTGTTATCAGGAAATACTAGATAAAAATTTGCATTACATATATTATGCAACGAGGGATTTATAGTAGATAATTCTAGGTATGGATATAAATATAGAAAAAATTGTGGAGGGATATACTCCAAGATATTAGTAGTTGTGTTTATCTCTGGATAACAGGATTCTGGGTGCTTTCTTTCATTTTCTATACTGAATTTTTTAAATGTAAATGCAGGACTTTCCTGAAGGCCCATGCCAATACAGGGGACACAGATGTGATTCCTGGTCTGGGAAGATCCCACTTGCCATGGGGCAACGAAGCTCTTGCGCCACAACTACTGAAGCTTGAGGGCCCTAAAGCCCTGCCTGCCACAGCAACAGAAGCCACCACAGGGAAAAGTAGCCCCTGCTCTCCGCAACTAGAGAAAGCCCACACACAGCAATGAAGACTCAGGGCAGCCAAAAAAAAAAAGGAGACAGAAAAAAAAATTGTTAAATGTAAATGCAATAGCAAATGTTAGATAGGGATAATTAAAAACAAAAACCTGTTCTTCCAGAAAACCAGACAAGTTGGGAACCCTCTCCTAAAAGGCAGAGGAAATGAACTGAGAGCTGAAAATGACAAAGGAAGTGACAAGATTTGAGAATCAGAAAAATGGACGTACAACTCAAGGCTTAGGAAGATTCTTAGAGAGACTGGCGTTATCAGAGGTTCTAGTCAAAGTAATAACTGAAAAAAACTTTCAGAAATAAAAAGAGGTACGCAGATTGAAAGTTTTACGATGTTATAGCCAAACTCAATGAAAAGAAGTCAGTATTGGTTAGATTTTATTTTCACCAGTAGGCTAAAGAATTATACAAACATCCATGTGTGTACACCTTTGTACCCAAGTTACCTACAAAACAACGAAAATTACCCTGGCCTTAGACTTCTCTGCAACACAGCTGCCATTAGACAAGGAAACAGAGTCATAAAAGGATCATATCTTTTCAGACATGAAAATACTCAGAAATCATACACTCATTTCTTGCAAAGGATACTTGGAGGATTACTTGAAGCTGTACCCCAGCTGAGTAAGACAAATCAAAAGTATTAATAAAAGTCAAGAATGAGGAAGGTGTGATATTAAAGGAGTGCAGGTCTTCACTTATTCATCTAAATTTCAGACTCCCAAAAGGGACTGTTATGTGTTGGCCAGTGAATTCTATTGCCCCTACCTATTGCCCCGACCCTTTGTGCTTCCTTGCTCTTTTCCAGGGCCAGGAAAGAGGGTGAGGCAGTAGAATCCTTGTAGAGGCCAAGGGACACACAGGGTCCCTCTTTCTGAGAAAGGAAATAGGGAGGTATGATTTGGCTTCCCACTGAAATTTTTGGACAGAGAGGGCAAAAGATTGCAGAATCTTCCACCTCTTTTTTCCGGGAACTGCAGAGCTGGGTGTGGGGCAAAGGCTCACTCCAGGTCAGGAAAGAGGAGCGCGCACTGGCTCCCGCAGACTCGCTGAACACTCATAACCTCTGTGGCCCCGAGGCACAGAATCATCCGCATCTTCAGTCCCTTCCGCGTGGCCTTCGGGAAGGGGGCTGACCTCGGTGGGGGTCGCCGGGGTCGGGGATCTTCGTGTAAGACCAGCGATCGCAGTTTATCTGGGGTGGTTGCGGGCTGTGGGGATGCTCGCGGTGGGGGGGACAGGGGAGCGCACGGGGTGCGGAAGATCTTACCCCCGGGCCCGGTGGAGACAGTGACCTGCGCGTAGGTGGCTCCTGCGGCGGCCGCCGGGCCAGACACGCCGTTGAGCGCGGCCACGCGCACGGTGTAGCGCGCGCCGGGCCGCAGGTGCAGCAGCGTGGCGGCGCGCTCCCGCAGCCCCACCTGGCGCGGCACGAAGGCCACGCGGGGCCCGCACGGCTCGCACGCGCCCGCCGGGCCCTCGCGGCCGCAGCGCAGGCACAGCAGCGAGTAAGTGACGTCCGAGCGGCCGCCCGAGTCGGCCGGCGGCAGCCAGCGCAGCCGCAGCGCCAGCGGCGAGCGGCTCAGGCTGTACTGCAGGTCCCGCGGCGCTGACGGCGGCCCTGGGGGAGACGGGTGGGCGCAGTCAGGGGTGGGGGTGGGCGGCCGCGTAGCAGAGGAGGGCGGGGGCGGGGAATGGGCGGGGCGTGACCAGTAAAGGGCGGGGCCGGGTAGGAGGGGAGGGGCGTGGGCTAGTGAGGGGCGGGGTGTGGGAGGGGGGCGCGGTCAGTGATGGGGTGGGTGGACGTTAGTGAGGGGATGAAGTTACTGGATCTGGGGACACAACAGAGTGTAAGGGACGGGAGTCCCCTCCTGACTGGAGAGTTATGAGAGGTGAGGGCGGGAGCGGTGGCCGGTGGCCCACAGGGTGACTGCCCAACAAGCCTAACCTCATCCTTTCGCCTGGACTCTCTGTTGTCCTGGTTCTTCCATCCTCAGGCCCCAGCCTGCGGTCACCACCCCTCCCTCCACTCTGCCGTCTGGGGGGCAGGCCCGCACGTGCGCCCTGGCGCTCCCCAGTGTGGAACCCCTGCCCTCACCACGCCTCGATTCCGCCTTTACAGACTGCCCCCCACCCCCTGCCCGTGGTAAGGCATTCAGGAGCCGGACTCACGGGTGCAGGACGCCGAGGGCGGGTCGGTGGGCGAGCGTGCGTAGCTGTCCTGGCACACGCAGAACGTGGACGCGTTTTCCAGGGCCCGGCTGTGCTCTGGGCACGGCGAGCAGAAAGGCCGCCTCGGGGACACCTTGTAAAACCCTGGGGGACAGGCTGCGGGGAGGAACTACGTGAGCAAGGGGCTACACCACAGCCTCTCTCTTCTCCACTTTCCCGGTTGGGGTGGAGCTGCGTTGCTGCTTTTAGTAATTCACTGAATGCTCATAACAACCTGTAAGATCTGCACTTTATCCTCATTTTAAAAATGAGGGAACTAAGGCTCAGAGAGGTTAAGTAACTTGCCAGATGCCCCACAGCTAGTAAATGGAGGGATTCCAACTGCAGCCAACTGGTTCAGAGCCCACACCACACTGCCCTAAGGCCCACTGGAAGAAAAGGAGCCAGGCTTTCCAGTTTTGATGTGAGGACAGAAGGGAGAGGCCTCTGAGGGCTGTTCCCCAGTTACTCAAGGACAGACACCCACACACTCCCAGTTAGAAACATTGTCACACACAAACACACACACACTTGTTAGAGCTCTTCCTCCCACCTCCACTATTTGAGGGTTAATGCATCATAAATCCTCCACTGACGCACTTGGTCCCCATTTAAGAGTGGAGCCAGCCACTCAAGTGGAGTGAGAAGAGGGACCATGCAAGCTCCTTGGTTCTGACACCTCCTCAGTTACTTAGCTGCTCTCACTTCCCTCGCCTCCCCTAGAAGTCAGTGGTTAAAACCACAGGCTTTTCTGTCTACCTGGGTTTGCAGCTGAATTGCATGACTTATTTGCTTCGTGGCCTTGGGCAAGTTGGTCCACTTCTCTGAGCCTTGCATAGAATACCTATCTCAAAAAGGTGGTTGGAGGATTGAGATAAAAGATGCAAACCGCTGAGCCCAGTACAGACAACATTTGCACACTAATGCTAGTAATTACTCTTCCTCCCGCACAGGCTTAAAGTGGAAACAGCTCAACACCCACTTTAAAAAATTTCTCACCAGCTGGGCCAGAGAGGGAGGCAATGGCTTCTGGCCCTCCTCTCAGAGCTTGGGTGGTCCTCACCTGGTTCCCTGACCCTGCCAGGATTTCTTTAACCCTCTCCTCTGGTTTAGCTTTTTGTGGAAGGCTGGCAGCTCTCCAGCCCCAAGAAGACATAGTACAACAGAAAGGATGTAGACTAGCCCTTGGGAAGAACTTCCAGCTGTATGGGAGAAGAGGGCAGGGGGCTGAGGGTTCTCATTATCTGGAAGCTTAGGTCTGGCAATGGGTCCCTGTTGCCTAGAGCCCTGGGCTTTGGGCAGCTTTGGGCAGGGCCTCCAAAGCTCAGGAGTCTTTGGGAGTTCCTGCCTTTGAAACAAAGTATGGGGCTCACAAACATCTGGTCTGGGTAACAGCAGTCAGGCTGGGACTCCGGAGGCCTGGGTTCCAGTGTTAGCCTTGCTACTTCCTATGCCTCTCTGGCCTCAACAAACCAGACAAATGCAAACACTAGGCATGGCCTGCTCACCTCCATCGGGAAGTAAGAGAGGGATGTGTTTGCAGGATCGCACAGCAGGAGAGAAAGAATGTGGGAAGCTCCTTTCTCCGTGTGTATGTGTGTCTGGGGTCCCAGAGGTGGGTGGTCAAATCAGAGACAGCATTGCTTATGTCTACTTTGAGAGGCTCTGTTTAGAAGAGGTTGTATTGAGGGGCAGACTCAGGAAGGGACTCCTGAGTACCGGCCCCCTCCCTCTCTTCCTCACGGTCAGAGTCAGAATTTCAGGGGTGCTCTAGTTGAACACCCTCTGGCCTATCTTGCAGCAGCTTTCCTAGCTGGAGCCACAGTCTTTGCTCAGATACCTGGTAATGGGACCCCACCTCCTTCTGAGGCGGCCTCTGCTGAACAATGCTGGCAGTTTGAAAGTGCTTCCATTTAAATTTCACATCAGCCCCCTAGGGTACTTTCCCCCAGCTCTGAGAAAAAAGAGGGGGTCTAGAGAGATTGAGTAACTTCTCACAGCCCCTCAGTACTAGGCGGAGCTGGGATCTGAGTGCAGGCCTCTGCCCCCTGTAGGGGGAGCTGTGGGGGAGTGGGAATAGCAAGTCACAGCTGTTAGGTTGCCACCTGGTTCACGCTGGCATTCAGTAAGCAGGTGGTGGGGCTTCCCAGGTTCAGTAGTAAAGAATCCACCTGCAATGCAGAAGACACAGGTTCGATCCCTGGGTCAGGAAGATCCCCTGGAGAAGGAAATGACAGCCTGCTCCAGTATTTTTGCCTGGAAAATTCCATGGACAGAGAAGCTTGGCGGGCTACAGTCCTTGGCGTCGCAAAGAATTGGACATAACGTAGCGACTTGGCGACTGAGCACTCTGCCTTCATGCTGAGCCCAAATCAACCTCCCTGCTTGTAACCCGCCTCATGCCTCTCTGTCACAGGGACTTGAGGTACCCTGTGGAGCCTCAGCATGTCTGCTTGAGTCCCTCTGCTCCAGGGTAGTACAGAGATTTGAAGACATGAGTCATACACTCTGACTTTTTTCCCCAAGGGAAACCCCACATCTTTCAATAATTCCTCTGGTGGCTGGGAGAGGAGCAAGAATCATGGTCATTAAAGAGAGATGCCTCCTTGTGTGTCTGCCTTCAGAGAGGGCTCTATAACAGCTACAGAGAACACTTGCAAGGCCTTCCCTTTCTAAATACAAACCTGACCGTTTCATTTCCCTTTATAAAAAACCCTCCAACAGCTCCCCAATGCCAACCCCACCCATACCACCCTGAACTTTTCCTTTTCCACCTCTGCGTCTTGTCCCATAACGTCTCATGCAACTTCTCTCCTGGCAAACGCCTATGTTTCTCCAAATCCTAGTTCAAAATAATACCTCCCCTGTGAAGCTTTACCTGGCATCCTCCCCATGTCCTTGCTCCCTAAGGCAGAGCTGATGCCATTACAAATGGCCTTTGTCTGGTCTCAGCCAAAGTCAGAAGTGGGATTGGGTTCCTGAGTCTGTGTGTGTGTGTGTGTGTGTGTGTGTGATTGCCTAGAATGTATATATAAATCCCCTCCTCCAGTCCCTGATCCATTCATTCAACAATTTTTTAGCATCAGTTATGAGCCAGGTGCTGTTCTAGGCTCTGGAGCTGCAGCAGTGAGTAAAGCAGAGCAAGATTCCCCTATCCACTGGTACAGGTGCCCCCTCCTAACCCACAGGGAGAAGAGAGGCCATCGGTTGGTTAATTCTCTTCTCTATCAGCTCTTTCCGGTAACAGTAGAGGGAGTGGAGCCATAAAAGAGGTCCATTTAAGGTATGGGCAGCAGGGCACTGTATTTAAAAACAATAAAACTGACTAAAACGTGGCCTGCTTTTTGTTAGCAGCATGCATCAGCAATTCTGATCCACATCAGTAATAAAATACTTCGTCCCTGGAGGTCGACTGCCCCCCACACTTGATAATCCTTTGGCTCCTCACCTCCTGTATAAACAAGGCTCCCTCTCATCTACAGTAAAAAAAATAATTCCTTTCTCCACCCAATGTCCTCCTTAAGACATCATGCCCTCTTCTCTCCTTTCAAACCCAGCCTCCAGAGAGTGTTTACATTCCCTGCCTTTAGCTCTTCAATTTCCGTCATCATCCTACCTGCTGCAGCTGGTAAGACCTCCATCACTCAGCTGAAACTGCTCTCACCAGGGCCACTAGGCAGACATTGACCAATCCTCGTGTTCCCTATGGCTCACCAACACTGCAGGCATCCTCTCCTGGAACCTCCATCACTCTTGTTGTTGTTTAGCTGCTAAATCACGTCTGACTCTTTTTTGACTCCATGGACTGTAGCCGACCAGGCTCCTCTGTCCATGGGATTTTCCAGGCAAGAATCCTGGAGTGGATTGCCATTTACTTCTCCAGGGGGTCAGCCTGACCCAGGGAACAAACCCAGGTTTCCCAATTGGCAGGCAGATTCTTTACCACTGAGCCACCCAGAAAGCCCTCCATCATCCTCGGCTGCCGTGAAATCACACTCTCCTCCAGCCTCTGATCACTGCCTTGCAGTCTTCTTTATAGTTCCCCTTTGTATATTGCGGTCCTGTGAGACTTCATCATTGACCGCCTTGCTTCTTACCCCACACATTCTCCCTGGTGTGTCCCAACCAAACCTATAGCTTCAAGCAGTATCTGTCTCTCTGTTGCTGAACTCCAGACCCACTTTCTGGCTACCTCTATTTGAGTGCACCATGGACACCATCAGGTCTTTCTGTGCATTCATGACCTGTGTTCTCTACTCCACTGAATTACCATCTGTGCACTCCATCCTCTGGATGCAGGTAAGTCAAAAAGGACTCTTTCCTCTAAATCAATGGTCACCAAGTGCTGTGGAGATCTTGTTATTACATCCATCCTTGTCACTCAGCTCTGCTTCTGCCTTGGTTCAGAACTTGTGCTCTTTCTCCTGGACTATTACATCATCTTTCTTCCTCAACTTCTGGCCTCTAATCCTTCCTTCTCCAGCTTTTTCTTTGTAATTGCAGCTCAAGTGATCTTTTGAAAACACAAATCTGAATTTGTCAGATCTCTGCTTCAAACTCTCCCTAATGGTCTAAAGCATAAAGTCTAAGCTCTTTATCCCTTCTTTATCCCCACTCAAGGCCCTTCATGAATTGCCTCTCCTCTTCTCCAGCCCCATCACCCTTACATCCCCAAATGCCCTCTTCTGTATCCATGCTGACTTACTGAGCCCCAAGCATGCCCTGTTCTCTCCCTCCTCCATGCTTCTACAGACACAATCTCTTACCTCAGAATTCTCTTGGCTGCCTGGAAGAAAGACCTTATCAGCATCTCTCTCTCCACTTAGAATTGGGTTCTCCTGTCTCCAGGATTCCTCAGATTTCTATTGATATGTATCACCCTTTATCCTAACTTCTCACTCACCCAGTACATTTCCATTGAGCACTTACCATATGTCCCATTATGGACACTGGAGCTGCTAAGATAATACAACCCATTGTCTGAGCTCAAGAAGTTCCTAGTCAAGTGATAGAAACACTAGAGGTCACTGCAGACCATGGGGTAAATAGACCATGTACAAATAGAGGTTTGGAGAGCCCAGAAGTGGATCCCAACCTTACCCGAAGAGCCCAGGAAAGTTTTACTCTCCAAGTCTGTTACTGAACCACAAGAGCCCCAGGGAAAAGATGGTGACATTCATTTATAAACATATCATACACCCTCAATAAATGCAGGTGAGGTGTTCTCAACTCACGTTGAATGGATGACTGAACAAAGAAATGAGAGCAAGTTTAGTCACTTCTCCCGCTGTCTTCCCACTACTGTATCAATCTCTCTGTTAGCTCATACATCATCCTGTTGTGACTTTTAAATGTTTACATCTTTCCACCTAGACTATGAATTTCTCAAGAGTTGAGATTATGTCTGATTCATCTCTGCTTCCCTGGCACCCAGAGAAGGACCTGGCTTAGAAAAAGTCTCACTTGGTCTTTCTTCACTAAGTGCACATGGTCCACACCCCATTCTTACCCTCAGTCCTCAGAGCTACAGATAGGGAAGGAGAGACCTGTTCCTGGTGCCCCCACAGACCAGAGAGTCTAACAGAACCCTCAATATGAAGGATCTGCCCCGGGGGCACAGTGACTCTAGTTCAGAGAGGTGGGTGGGATCTTAGTAGTCACCTAGTGCAACTTCTCAATCTCTCTCTCCAGCTCAAGAATCCTGCCAGCCTCTGACTTGTATATTGTTGGTAACAGGGAGTTTACTCCCTCTAATGTAACCAATCCCAGCAGCCTCTAGCTAATAGAGTTAGGCTATTGTAGAGTTCTTTCTTTCCTATGCACAGGGGAGGCAGCATGGTGTAGTAGAAAGAACCTGAGAGTTGGGCAAATCTGGATTTAAAACTCAGTTGCCTGTTTCTTAACTGCAAGCAAGGTGTTAACCTCTCTGAGCCTCTGTTTCCCTATCTGAAAAACAGGGATAAAGGTGATTTTAAGGCTGTCAATAAATGAGAAGGCCTGTGTGAGGTGTTTATCATGGTGCCTGAAATACAGGTCCCTGATGCCCCCTTGTATGGAGTCAAATCCATCTCTCATTAACTTCACTTACTGGTCCTGGCTGCACCCACTGGAAGCACCACAAAAAGTCAGGACTCCCGGCTCCATACCTCGTGACTTCCCCACTCCCCCTCCTGCCTCTTTCATCTAGGACACACTCTCTCCCAACTGCCACCTGCGGGCTACACTCCCACACCACACCCCCAGGGCACTGGATACCTTCACAGATGTCACCGCGTTCTTGGAATCCCGCACTGCAGCTGCACCGGCCCACGGGCACCAGCCACTCGCCATCGGCGCCGCAGTGCATGCGCGGGGGGCTGCCGGGCTCCCCTTCTGAGTGTGCCACGCACGTTCCGGTCACCTCCACCAGCGTGGAGAAGGCGCTCTCGGCTGCGGTGGCTGGGAATGCCGCCAGACCCCGCACCGTGGCGCGGCACTGCTTGTAGTAGACGCGCACAGAGACTAGAGCCACGCATGCGCCCACGTCCTGGAAGGCCAAGTGGAAACCCCGCCGGCTGAGCGGACCGATCTCGCGCACCTCCGTGTTCAGCTTCATCTTGCGCTCACCCAGGTCGCCCTGAGTGAAGCTCTCGTCTGCCGCGATCGTGTCGATCTTGCGGGGCCGGCTGCCACCTGGGCGGGTACGCCCGCGGCCCAGATCGGCCTCGGTTTCCAGGTAGTAGACATTGAAAGTCTCCTTGCAGGTGCCCGCGGCTCCGGGGATGCTGCTGCAGTCACGCAGTGTGAACTGCAGCTCCACAAAGATGCGCTGCCCGCGCCCGCGGCTGATCCAGCCAGTCTGCAGCCAGTTGTCCTGGTTGGGCTCCAGCACGTTGCACACCTGGTATGTGCGGATGGGACGGTCGTGCTCGTCCACGCCGCTGATCTCCTCCCACTGGCGAAGAGAACAAATATGTGGGCATCTCAGAGCCAAGGCGCTCCCAAGAGGTCAAGCCCTGGCGTTGACTGGGGCTGAAGCCCCACTTCCCCATCATTTTGCATCCTCTTCTGTCCTTCCCCATACACACCCCTGAAATTATAAGACTCAGAGCTGGGAAAAACCTTGGAGATGACTGAGGTCCAGTTAACAGGGAAACAGGCTCCAGAGAGGGGTGACTTGAGTGGATAGACACGTCCTCTTATAGCGGAAGTAGGGAGTCTCCTGGCTCTCCACCCCCTGCTCTTTGCACAACACCAAGCTGCTGTCACATCATCACATCTCCCCCCATTACCCCCAAGTTTCCAAGCCTCTTTTAGGATTCCAAGTCTTGCTTGTCCTGTCAGTCCATCAATTAACAACATTGCTTAGTGGACCTACTGGGTGCAAGGCACCATCCAGCATTGGCTCCATCCAAATGCTGTGTCTGTTCCTTCCTAGACACACCCAGTTCTCTTATCACTTTTTTTTTTCAGTCTGACTGAAAAGCCAACATTTTCTAATAGGCCACTCTGGCTTGAAGCCAGGGCTGCTGGAGACTACAATCTCAGGAGCATTTTGATCTGATATATCCATGGGGAGATAAAGGGGCTGAGTCCTGGACCACCAGGGGCTCCTTGGGACAGAGAGGGAAAGGTTTACACTTACCCCATTACTTGGCAGTGCAGTCCAGCCCAGCTCAGCTTGGGAAGCTTTGGAATCCAAGAGGATGACTAGAGAGAGGGAAGAACAGAAATATCAGAAAGTTCGGGGCAGAGGGGCAATGAGAACCTTTGGTGAGTTCAGTTTAAATTTGCTGACTGAGAAAACAGAGAACGTGGTGAAGGATACAGACAAGTTTTTCCCACTTCATATGTCCCCATGAGAAGGCATGAGTAGATCTAGTCTAAAGAAAGGTAGCCACAATGATTAGGGAGGGAGCCTGTATTAGTTTTCTGTGACTGCTGTAATAAATTGCCACAAATTTAGTAGCTTAAAAGAACAAAACTTTATTCTATTACAGTTCTGGAGGTCAGAAGTTGAAAATCAGTTTCACTGGTCTAAAGTCAGGGTGTTGGAAAGACTGGTCCCTTCTGGAGGTTCAAAGGGGAGAATCCATTTCCTTGCCTCCTTCAGCTTCTAGTGGCCACCTGAATTCCTTGGCTTGTGGTCCCCTCCTCCATCTTCAAAACACATCATTTCAGCCTCTGTTTCCTTCTCTAACTCTGACTTCTGTGTTTCTCTTATAAGGACCATTGTGATTGTAATTGGGTGACCCATATAATCCAGTGTAACCTCTCCATCTCAAGATCCTTAGCCACACCTGCAAAGTTTATTGCCATTTACTACAATATTCACAGGTTCTGGGGATTCAGGTATGGAAATATTTGGAGAGTCATTATTCAGGCTGGCGTGGAATCCATGACATATGTTCTAAGACTGGCTCTAAAATGAGATCAGTGACCCCCCCCCAACCTTCCCAGATCCCCCAAGTTATAAGTGAGTGTCAATAAGAGGGAGAAAGTGATCATATCTGAGAATTCTTATACACATTCCTGAATTCACTCATACTCATGGGTTCTTTTGAGGCCTAGGGTCACCAGGGATAGGGTAGACTTGAACTTTTTAGTTTGACTCCCAGGGCCTCTGGGGAAAATGAAGTAGAGAGACCCTGCCAGCAGCAAAAGAAGTAAAAATCTTTATCTCCTCAGCCAGCCCCTTTCCCAGGGGCTGTCATCTCCACTGCTTTTGAAAGATTATCAGAATTCCTTTAATACATAAAGACATGACTCCTTCTAAACCAGAGATGCATGTGGTCACTTTCTTCCCCCATGAGGCGTCTGACCTGCAGTCTGAATTCTGCTGTCAGTATTGGTCCCAGAGAAATACTGGTTAGAACAGCACAGCAGCAGCTCAGAGCCAGAAGCCCAGGCCATCTCCAAATCTTTGAAGATTACTCATCTGGAGCTTAAGCAAGGGGGTGGGGCTCCAAGGTGAGCCCTTTAAGGGGGTTGGCCCCAGAGGTGTCAGCGACAATGGGCAGGATCACTGACAGCTTCCCGATTTCGGTGTAACCGACAGCACATCGGAATTGCATATTGGAAAGCATCAGAGATCTAGCGCCCACAACAACCCCGAGGCCAACGCCTCAGATTCCAGCTCCTCCAGCTCCTGAACCTGGATATTACGCCTCTGGATTTAGCTTAGTGTACAGCTCCCCCAAATTCAGAGTCAGAAGCAGGACGCGGTCGCTGGTACAGCGAGCACCCTCGAACCCGGCAACGCCGATCGCGCTGGTTAGTCTACACTCCAAATTCAGCACTGCGGACAGCTCCCTTATCAGCACGTCGGACAGCTCCCAGACTCTTGCCCCAATCCCCGACCCCACGCCCTCTCCGAAACACGCCACCAGACGCCCCCCGCCCCCGTCGCCCCACCAGCGCTCTACCTTCTGTTCGCCACGCAGTGGTCCCCTAGACTCCCCACTGTTCCGGCTCCATCCCGTCTCCTTATACTCCAATCTCACCTCCGCATCTCCCTGCCCCCACACCTCCCACCTCCAATTGCTCGGCCTGTCCGTCTCACCGGCCCCTGAACCGTCGCCTCTGGCTCCCACGGTTCCCGGTCTCTTTCTCCCCCAGCTTCCCAGGTCTCCAGCCTCCGAGCTCCTCAGTGCTCCTGTGTTCTCCGTTGCTTAGCCACCTTTTCCTCTCTCTCCAGTTCTTTGCTTTCTCGCTGTCCGCTTGCTTCAAACCCCAACAGACTCCAGTCTCTTCATACGACTCCTTCCCCAAGCACCCCAGTTCTTCAGCTTCCTACCTTTTGGCATCCAAGCCTCCCAAACAGCCACCAATCTCACCTTCCTCGGCGGTCCCGGGCCTCCCCGGTCCCAAAAGCAAGGCGAGACACAGCGGCATCAGGCAGATGAACAGGCGCAGCGGATGTGGGCAGGCGCCGGTCTCCATGGTCCGCAGACCGAGCTGTCAGTGCGGCGGCGGCTCAAGCCGCGCCAGCCCCAGCACCGCTGAGCAGTGCCCCCAGACCCTAGCGCTGGCTGGGGGGCGGGATCTCGCCGGTGACCATCATCCATGGGCACCAATCCCTATGTATCACCGCGGGAAGTCCACCAATCCCCGCCAGCAGATGGTGGAGAGGTGGAGTTTCATAGGCCAGGGGCGGAACAGCAAATTGGAGGGGGAGAAGGAAGGGGTCCCGCCAGTCTCCAAACCATGGGGGGTGGGGCAGCGCTTGAGACCCGGTTCGGTTCACGGGGAGAGGGATGACCTGGGGTGGGTGGCCCAGAGCGCTGAATCTTAGCCTCTCATTCGTGAGAAATAGGCAGTGTGGGCGTGGCTTAAGGAGGAGCAAACCGCGGGGAGGCAGCGACACCTACAACCTCTGAGCTAACCTGGAAGACCCCTAGTACCCAGGACTTGCAGGAGGTTTTGAAGACTGGTGTCCCGACCTCAAGATCTGGGAAGCCCCTCTATCTCCTAGCCCTTATCTTCTTCCTGTATCTGCAGCTTTGGGTATCTCGTGGCTCCACCCCGCCCCCTTTTTTCTCCCCGCCCTCATCTCTCTCTCTCTCTCTCTCTCTCTCACACACACACACACACCGGGGAAGAAGAGGCCAAGCGCGAGCCCAAGAGCTACACGAGAAAGGAGAGTAAAGTGGCAGACACAGTGCCACCCTACCAGCAGCTCTTCCGAGGCTGGGGAACCATGTGGACGCCAGGATGGGCGATTGATAGATTTTGCATGAACGACTGGTTCCCCAGGTTCTTACTTCTGCAGCCAGGACACAGGCAGCCCTCTCCGCGACCACCCCTTTCCCCAATCTGCTCAGAGCCTGGAGTTTCCCCCTTTATAAACGCTCTCCGCCCACCCCAGGGACTCGTGAGGAAAGCAGCGGCCAGACTCCCAGGCATCAGCGAGAGAGAGGGAGTAATCCTCGCAGGGTTCACCCAGCGCTGAAAGAGTCGAAAGGAAATGTGGAGCACGACCTCTGTCTTGTGAAGGTCATTTATGTGCTGGCTGAGGGTTTAAGGCGTTGATGGTGGGAAGGGCTGGAGCCCTCCAGGATGAGGGAGGCGGCTACTGAGCGCCACCGTCTGGACTGAACGTGAGCAGAGAAAGCTCCACCCACCCGGTGGCTTTTCAGACCTCTTTTCTTGGGGGGCCTAACCCCTCTCCTTTGGAGGCTATATTAGCCAGAGAAGCCTTGAGAATCAATGTGAGTCCTGCATGGTCTGGACGTCTGTGCGTTTTGTATGTATGTGTTCCACATCCTTCAGGCATCACTCACTGCGTGCCATGTTCTGTGCTGAGAATACCTGAGTGAATCACCCTGTCTCTGCACAGTCCATACCTCTATGAGCACCAAATGGAATGAAAATTTCTGACATCATAGAGCACTGGTCATTTACAAGCCACTTTCTTGTGTCACTTCGTGTGTGTATGCGTGTGGTATGTGTACAAGCTTGCTCACAGACATACTTGCTGGACAGCAACAGTAGGAGGAGAGGCTGGGAGGAATTGAGTTCCTTTGCCCGTACAAAGAAAGGTCATCAGGAGAGGCTGAGGCTGGGAGACCGCAGAAGACCGAAGCTCGCTGAAGAAGCATAGGCAGGTGTGGCATCCTGCCGGCCCTTGGATACAGGCGGAGGCTCTGAAATCAGATCTACCTGAAGAAGGGCTCTTACACCCCCACCTCCTTCCCATCTTTATTCTCCACACGCTCGATTTTCCCCTCCCCCTTTCCCCAGCGCTGGGAGATGGTATTTTTAGAAGCTGCTTAGAGACCCAGGACTCCTTTCATTTCAAAATGAGTCCTCACTCAACCACTCCTCATCCCTCCCTTCAAAACGGGGTCCCATCCTTTTTGCAATCTCTAAGGCTCCAGCCACGGCTTCGTCCCTGAACTCCAGGGACTTCAACCCAGAGGTTCTGACCCCATATGCTTTAACAAAATGCAGCCTCCCTATAATCCTCACAAGGATCATTCAGAAGTCAAGCAGATGGAGGAACTTATCCGAGGAAAACCACATAGAATGACCCAACAAATCCCTGGTTGTCCGGAGTCTGTTTCCCACCTTTCCTATCACACATCCCTGCAGGCTTCTTGGGGAAATCACCAGATCAAGACCCTAGGAATAAGGGAAAGAAGAGGAAAAGAAGAAGCGAAATAAACCTTGTCTTTCTTCATCTGAACAATTCATCTGTAATAAAAGCAGAACGGAGAAGCCCCCTGTGTATGCAGATATATGCAAATCAGCTGGATCTTAAGAATCGCTCTAAGGCGACTCCACTCTCACCAGGAGGCTGTGGAATAGACATCTCAGTAAAGAAATTCAGGAGGGCTTCAGATGGAAACTGAACTGTGGTTTATTGTGAGCTTTAAGTGCTAGAGGCAGTCAACCAGGAACCAGGTTAGATCCCTCAATAGAACAGCAAACCGGTGCTCTGTCAGGGGGCTGCAGTGGGTTCTGTCCATGGTACTTAATTATGAGACCAAGGGTTAATGGCAGTCTTGTTTCTTTCCATGGTTCTGAACCTACCAGGGTCTGGACCCTCCATTTTCAACTGGACCTGGGACTCTGCTGCTGCACTGATTCTCAGCCCAGGTCTCTCTGCCTGCCCCTTCGGCCTATTACTAATATCCAAATATTCAAGTCTCCAGAAGACAATCAGCCTTACTTCCTGGAATAAGAGTGGAGGGTCCTGGGACTCTTCCAGAAACTCGTTTTCTCTGCTACTCCTCTCAAACCCCATCTGTAGTAATGATGGCAAGGATGCTTCTCTCTACTTCTACCTCACTGTCTCCAGGATGCTGAGAGAATACTTGGTGGAGCTGAGAAGTTTAATTCAACATCCAAATATAGAGAAGTGGTCTTCCAGGGAGCAGATCCAACTTTCCTGCAACTTCCGTCTCCAAGTTGTTGAAAGTTACACATCTAGGGGCTGAAATTTTTATTTATTCCTTTCACACGGATGCAGAAAATACATTTGTCCTGGAAGAACAGAGAAGATTGTCTCCTTCATGAAGAAGACCAAGATTACTCCAGAGAAATCAGGGTCAAGACCTGCTCTCAAGAAAAAGGACAGGTAAGGTGCAAAAAGCAGTGGGGCCCCTACAGCTCAAAGAAACATTTCCAGTTTGTCTCTTTTCTCTTCTGTTCCATCTCCCACTCTCCAGCCTAAGAAAGAAATCAGTTCAGTTCAGTCTCTCAGTAGTGTCTGACTCTTTGCAACCCCATGAACTGCAGCACACCAGGCCTCCCTGTCCATCACCAACTCCAGGAGCCTACCCAAACTCATGTCCATTGAGTTGGTGATGCCATCCAACCATATCATCCTCTGTCTTCCCCTTCTCCTCCTGCCCTCAATCCTTCCCAGCATCAGGGTCTTTTCAAATAAGTCAGCTCTTTGCATCAGGTGGCCAAAGTATTGGACTTTCAGCTTCAACATCAGCCCTTCCAATGAATACTCGGGACTGATCTCCTTTAGAACAGACTGGTTGGATCTCCTTGCAGTCCAAGGGACTCTCGAGAGTCTTCTCCAATACCACCGTTCAAAAGTATCAATTCTATGGTGCTCAGCTTTCTTTATAGTTCAACTCTCACATCCATACATGACTACTGGAAAAACCATAGCTTTGACTAGATGGACCTTTGTTGGCAAAGTAATGTCTCTGCTTTTTAATATGCTGTCTAGGTTGGTTATAACTTTCCTTCCAAGGAGTAAGTGTCTTTTAATTTCATGGCTGCAGTCACAATCTGCAGTGATTTTGGAGCCCAGAAATATAAAGTCAGCCACTGTTTCCACTGTTTCCCCATCTATTTCCCATGAAGTGATGGGACCAGAAATAAACATACCTAAAGGTGAATTTTTCATAGGACACCCAGGAAAACATAAAGTTTAAATTTTATTGTCTAAGACAAAGGGAATATAACACATTAAATTTATTGGCTTTGAAAATTAAGCAGTAAAACTTTAAATTATCAAACACAAGTGCTTAGCTTTCATGTGCCTCTACTTTCCCATCTGTGAGATAGGGATAAAAACACTTTTCAGAGTTATTGTGAGGTCAAAATACATTTTATATGCATGGCCCAGCTCAGTGCCTGGCACATTTTTCTGGTATATTTTATGATTCAACTCCATGGTTAATTAAAGTAAAAAAAAAAAAACCAGAAGGAAAAAAGGAAAGGGTAAAGGAAGTTTAGGTGTGAGGTAGGAAGAGAGAGATAGTCATAGAGGAAAAGACAGAATGAAAGATAAAGAAACAGAGAGTTGGCTGGGATGAATGTGGCTAGAAAGCACAGGCGTCTGAAGGAAATGTGCTTGAAGAGACAGGAGTGTCATCAGGGCAGACTGGCTAGCCAGCTGCCAAGTGGCCTCAGAGGTGACATTTACCTTGCTGAATTCATCATGGTCCAAGCTCATAAACTTGACTAACAGCGCTGAGAGAGAGCCCATATATTGGGTGGGGGTGTGGGGGTGGGGGGGGAATTGATAATACTAGCTCAGCTCTTAGCCTGCTATTTGAGAAAAAAAAAAGTACTAATATACGATGAAAAATGGAACTGCCAAGGGGGCCAGAATGCTCACATTGCCATGTCCAGCAAATTCTTCTCCTGTAGAAAATGTGCATAGGAAGTCAATTTATGATGTGACGGCTGCTTGGAAAGTGTGTGAGAAGGGAGTTGGATAGTTTAAATATTTGATGGCATCAGGCTCTGAGAACCTTGTGCCTCCAAATCCCCGGTAAGAATAATCCCGCTGCTGGCTCCTAGTGACTCTACAGGGGCCAGAGCTGGGGATGGGATCCATTAACATATGCTTCTCTCTCTCTCTCTTTTTGTTTGTTTGTTTCTTGTTTAAATCCTTGTTCCATTTCTTAGAGCCCATTTTAAGATCAAAGCAATCCTTTTACATGTATTTATTTATTATTTAATTTTCTCTT